TATGTTTGCGCTATTAAAAGTAGACAATATTTAACAATGATCTGAAGTTGTCATGCAACTGACAACAATATTATATTTCAAAATACCTGTATATGATGACATTTTACAAATATCTCGGGATTTTTGGACCAATTTTAAACTAAGCAAGGTAAAAAGTCTCCATTCAAGAATATATCTTCTTCTCAAAAGGTAAAATACTTAAAATACTTGCCGATTAAATTGTTTACTTCGACGGTATGTAAATTAACAGCGTTTGACTTGCAAGACGTCAAAAACGGACGATTTCAACGCGCTGTCGTTTATCGCGTATTCATTTGCCAAAAGAAGTATTTACGTCAATTGAAAGCTTGCTTATTAAAGAGCCAACTAATAGAAGCATGATCGATTTGGAGCTTTATCGCATGGTGAAAATCGATTTTGTTGAGAGGGTATCGTAAATGAAGTAAGATAGTGTGCTCAAAACTACGATTATTTATATTCCTAAAAGTCATGTACACAGTCCTTTGAATAACCGAAAACAAGATTTTTAGGGTTTTAGATCGATTAGAAACGGTTGTCGTCGTGAAATTTATCTGTAAAATCAGCGCATATTTTCCCAGAAAAAATGGCGATTAGGGTGGTCGTGTTAAAACGGCATTTTCTCAAAGTTAAAAAAGCATTTGACCTAAAAAAATATATGGTGCATTTTCCGATATAGTAAGGTATATCTGGGCAAAATTTGAGCAAAATCGATTTTTCAGTCGTGGCCGCGAAATGTCTCATATGTTCGATTTTTACTGACATTCACTCTTAAACCTTCCTCAAAATAAATTAAATAAATATGGCTTTATCAAATAGCAATATACTACAGTATATAAACTTAACTGGCGCTGAAAGCATAAAACACAGTACATGGTTCTAATATATAAATTTGCCATAATAGAGTTATACTTTAGACAAATTGGACAGTCCTTACCTACTAAGTCTACATCCTATATCATATATTGAATATAAAATATTAAAAAATGAAGTCATAGACTCAAGATAATATTTAAGATGGGATGGTTTCTGAATCTGTAATAAAAAGCACGCGTCACACATCTAAAAATTGAGAAATCAAGAATTTTGTTTCCTTGTTGATATTGACAGGCGTGCTGCCCACTATGAACAATTTGTCAACAAAACTTGCAACTACATTCTTGATTACCTGTTCATAGTAGGTATAAAAAACCTTAACTTCTTGAAATATTTTGTTGGGCGGTACATTTATATTGTATAACAAAATACAGTTGGGCGGTGATGAGAATCAAGCAAGTTATTTTATGTGACCTAAGGCACCTCTGATGCTCGACACTTACACATTTTAATTTTACAGAATATTTTCAGTTATTGTCTTCTCAGTATTCTCCAATGTCATAGTCATCTGGTATAGGTACTATATCACAATAGTGCCACCACAACTTGCCAGCCTCAACTGCCTTAATCAACCATGATTTATTTGTTTTACTTTTTTGGTGTTAGCTACCATTGGACACTAAACCTTCCTCACTGACCTCACCTATGGTAAACCTTCCTCGCGGGCAATTCCCGCAGCTTTTTTGCAACTCTGCCTCTTACTTTGGCAGCCTCAATTGTGCTAGGTTGTTTGATTGAAGTCATGGGATCATATTTACAGTATACTCTCGTTTAACATTCGTATTACAAATGCAGTGAAGTGATCAATTTCAGAATTTATTAGAGTATATAGGCAGTTGTTATCGGGCGAGGAGTTTGCATCAATGTATTTTTATAGGCCTAAGTCAGAGTTTTTATTTCAATGAGGATGCAGGTACGTAATAGTGCAAAAGCACTAATAAACTTGTAGCCCTCTTATCTAAAAAACACAACAAATTCTATATGTACGAATATCTCTAAAACTCTTATAAGATTAAGTTATCTACAACATCTGTATCTATATTTACAAGAATATATTATGCATACTTACGAACTACACCATGAATGCACAGTATTGCTAAAAATGGCAAAGAGATTGTTGCTGTTCATATAAATTATCTACATATTTGCTCTTAAAAAGACGGACATTCAGCTGTCGCCTTAAGTTCAGTGGCATGCAGACTATTCCAAAGTTTAATTGTAGTTACAGTGAAGGTTCTACCACCTACCAGTTTCCCTTTTGTACTTTGGGCAGATACAATTGACTTCAGCGTATCTAGTATATATTTCTTGTATGTTGTTTTCAATTTAGTTTCAATATTTCACATAAATAAGGGGCAATCGCACCCTTTATTCTCTTATAAGCAAATGCGCCCCTATTTATAGTCGATGATAGGCCCGCTATATATGGAGCATCTAAAATAACCCTCGCAGCCCTCTTTTGCAACCTGAAAACTATATCTAGATTAATAGTTTTGTTTGTGGAAACACCACGTAAATTTATTACTGCAAAGCTTTCGATCCGTAAGCCCGGATCTTCATCAGTGCTAATAATATGATTAGTATGATATGAAAAACTATTATTTTTTCGCTATGCACACATACAAAGAACTTATATCTAGATTGTCCTTTCGGCAATTTGTCCACACGACACTATAGAATAATCATGATAAGCTTTATAACAGAATTATAGTAGACAAGTCTTTAACCCATGGGCAAGCAACCTTTTATACGTCTCAAGGTTCCAATGCGTTTTGCAAGTTTCTTACAAATATAAGCATGAACATGATCCTTAAAAGAGAATTCTTCATCTATATCTAACCCGAGTAGTTTTGCGCTTGACACGTGTTCATGTTGTAAGTCTAGTTGTGTTGACTCCATTTTAGCAAGTAAACGTTTGCCTGTAATTAACATAGCCTTTGTATTTTACTGATTTAAAGTCATCTTGTTCGCTACTGCCCAGTTTTTGACACCAGCAATTGATTCATCCAAATTTTTTCCCAGTTGTTGTATTTCAGTGTAATGAACTGATGAGAGAGCGTAGTATCATCTGTGTATAGATCAACTTCAGCAACATCAATGTGTAATCGTAACGGTAGATCGTTTATGTTTATGAAGATCACAAAAAACAATGGTCCCCAAAATTGACCCCTGAGGAATTCCATGAGGAATATCTCGCATAGACGATTGAATTTCGTTCAATTTAACACATTGCCTTCTGTCATATACATAAGATTTAATCCACTTTACAGCATGATCATCAAGGCCATAATTTTTTAAACTGGACAGCAATTGTGTGTAAAAATGTGTGTAATTTATAGTTACTCAATGTTTATTATAAATCGTTACAGACGAGGGAATGTACGAATTTTTGAAGCGATTTGTCCGACAATTAATTGGAACGGGTTTATTCGACGTGCGTAGATTGTAGCTTGGATGTTCGGCTGGTTCAACTAGTTTGGAAAGAGGACTAGTTTGCGGAAGAACCTTTTTCAAAATTTTTTAAGTTTCAAAATATTATAGTAAATATGTTTTTGTAAATATACAATATTTTTCTAATCAACCAACCCTGTAAATGATAGATGTATTTCAACCTTCATGGTTGCAAAGTCTATATTTTATTAATAAATTCACAAATGGTCTACCATATCAAAAGCGGCCCTTCGAGGACCACACCGGTTGTACGATTGTTATCCAAATCAAACAATACCTGATCAATTATCTTTATCAACGCCGTTTCGGTGCTGTGGAATTGTCGCCGTCATGTATGCATCAAGGTGGTTATGCACATGTTTCTCGATAATCTTCGAGATGACTGGCAAAATTGATATAGGACGATAGTTCGTAACATTATCCCTCTCGCCGGCGTTAAAGAGTGGGACAACTTTTGCTGTCTTCCACCTTGTTGGAAATACCGCAGTATTTAGGGATATGTTCATGATTTTTGTAATAGAAGGTGCTATACTAGGGGTTGCTATCTTAAGAAATCTTGCACTGATATTATCTAAACCAGTTGATTTACAAGACTTAAGATTTTGTAATGCCCTAAGAGTGTCGTTAATCGTCATTTTTGGTATCTTAAACATAGCGTCTCCGTCTAATTTCGTGGCAATAAAGTTTCTTAATCTTGAAAAATCGTGGGCTACATTCGCAAGTAATGATTTCAAACAGTCCACGATTAAAGTGAAATGCTTATTGAATTAAATGCGTATTTCCATTAGGTGCCGACCTAAGGCAATCAACCGAGCTAGACTTCATTCTTGTTCCAGTGAGGCGTTTAATTATGCTCCAAATTCATTTTACATTTGAATATTTAGCCATTCTTATTTTATTGACATACCCGAGGGCGAAGCCCAAGGGAATTCGACAAACCTCCCGAGAGAAGGGGTAATTTTTATCATTTATTATTTATTATTTTATTACTTACGAAGAGGCAAGAGATGTCTCCTTCAATAGATGTCTCCTTCTTGATTTTAGCCGCACTGCAATCATTTTCAGATTGTTTGCCTGTTTGAGATGTGTAGCTGTTCCCTAATGATAGAGTTCGCTTTCGACGATACGCCTGCTGACAAACGCTTGTCGTCGGGGAGCCAATCTCTTGTAGGTTGGGATGGTTAGCACTGTGAAAGACGTCTTGGTCGAATTTGCCCAAATAAGTATATGTACGCCGAATAGCAACCTTCATGCATGGTCTGAGAAATGAACCACTATTCCATGCTTCCTCTCAAGGGCCTCTTTGCAGCCCAACCACCTCTTAGGAGCCGAGAGCTTTAAAGCGAGATGATAATGAAAGCCTTGTTGTTGGTGCTTTTCAATACAACATGCCCAGTGTTGTGGCGACGATTGACTTCGTTGGGAAGTGAAAGCTTCGACTACAGCGTCCGCAAACGATTGTTTCGTAGGAAACTTTTGAAGATCGGCTTGGCTATATGTTATTAAATAGCAACGCCGTGGTTTTCTGCTATGAATTTCGTCTATCGGATGCGCCATTCTGTACAAGAATAATATTACGATACGAAGAATCCAAATTTCCCGCGGTATTAGTTAATAATTAACCACATGTAAACAAACTTCAAGACGGTATTTTCGCTAATTAAAACGTCAGACTCATATAATAGTAATTAATAATTTTTTAATGCCATTCATAGCTTTTAGCAGATGCGATAGAGAGGAACTTACAACGAAGGTAAATGAAACTAACAATATATTAAAGTCAAGCTGCTTGAAGAAAAAGCTTGCATTTTTAGACAATAGTAATATTAGTCGCTCTCATTTAAATAGTAGAGGACTGCATTTAAACCGAGAAGGTAGCTCTTTGCTTCAGGCAAACTTTTCACATTTCTTAAGTTTGCATAATTGAAATGAGGACGGGTCGAGGAGGAGTGCTAATGATCCCTGTTTAAATATTCCGAAAACAAGGGGTTTTAAGATGGCTATGCTTAATGTAGTTAGCCTTCCGAAACACCTTGATGAAATCCGATTATTACTTCAAGATAAATATTTAGATGTTTTAGCAGTTAATGAAACCCGTTTGGACTCCACTATTTCCGATGGGATTGTTAGCATTGAAGGTTATGACTTGCTACGTGCTGATCGGAATAGAAATGGAGGAGGGGTATGTATTTATATAAGACGCCATATAAATTATGAAAATCGCCCTGATCTAGTTCCAACAGGCCTTGAAGCTGTCTGTGTGGAAATTAAGCAGGCTAATAGTCAATCTTTTATAGTTTCAAGTATTTATAGACCACCATGTTCCGCTAGTGAAGTGTTTATAAAATTTGAGAGGCTAATCAAATCAATTGATGATGAAAATATAGAATTTTATATTTTGGGAGATTTAAATTGTAATATGCTAGAACCAACTTTGTCCACCACTAGAAAGCTTCAAGACGTTTTGGAATTATATCAGCTTACACAATTAATTAATAACCCTACGCGTATTACCCAGTCTAGCCAATCATTATTGGATGTAGTAATTGCGTCAATGCCTGAAAAAATAATTTTTTTCAGGTGTAGTCCATCTCGGAATTAGTGATCACAGCCTCATTTATAGTATTCGGAAAATAAGTACAAGAATAAAATCTGATTTACAAGGTTCTGTCGAGTATAGAAATTTTAAGAATTTCAATGTTTCAGGCTTTCTATATGACTTACAAAATATACCTTGGGAAGAAATAAGATTTAAAAGAAATGTAGATGAAATGTGGCGGTTATGGAAAACATTTTTTGTAGATGTGCTGGATAAACATGCCCCTGTGAGAGTAAAAAGATTAAGAAAAGGGGGAAATATCCCTTGGGTAAGCCGGGAAGTAAAGGAAAAATTATTTAAAAGAGATGCTCTTAAGCTTAAAGCAATAAAGACAAATAAAGAAGAAGACTGGAGACTATATAAGTCATCTAGAAATGTTGCCAACACTGCTTTGCGCAGTGCTAAAAGAGATTATTATGCAAACAAATTCACAAATAATAAACAGAATCCTAAATATGCTTGGAGAACAATAAACGATATATTAGGTCGAAACAGAAAACAGACTACGATTAATGAAATTAAACTCCCAGGTAAAACTGTTACATCGACGGACGAATTAGTCGACATTTTTAATGATCATTTTAGTAATATTGGCCCAAAGCTTGCTGAGTCTATTCCAAATGACAATGACGTTAGTTTTCGAGATTTTATTACTCAACAAAAATCTAAGACAAAGAACAGTTTCTCATTTCGACCAGTGAGTGTAACATTGGTTTACACTCTTCTAGTTAATTTGTCTACCACCAAAGCGACTGGAATGGATAAAATTTCGGCTAAAATTC